TTGGACGCTTTTTCTCTGCCCTTGGGTACTGTGGAAGCGGACACAATATATCGTCTGGAGGATGTGCGGGCACCGTCCGGGGAGTGCGCAGACAGTGCGTGGATGGCGTGGTGTTGGATTCGAATGCGCTTTTTGGGGTTGCCACTGTCCCCCGCGCATCAGCGTTTCCAGGTACCCTATAAAAGATGGCCACTTACATATGAGTTTACGCATGGTATGTTGGTGATAATGAATCTATGATAAAGTGACGAAGAATGCTCACCCACAGGCTTGCTATTTACGCCGCAAACACAGATCGTGCTTAAGTTTTTACGCGCAAACATAGTTTTCACGTTTTAGGCGTAAAAATGCGTAGAGACTGCCCATGTGCATAATGCCTGTACCGCGTGGTCAACCTGCGACCGGCTGTCCCCCTGCGCTCTCCGTGGAGCGCAAGGAGTGTATGGGCCGTCCGCCAAGCACTTTAGGGACGTGAAAGGTTTGCAAGGCACATGGAATACTGCCTGCAAGTCGCGAGTGGCGGAGAGGGGCGCCGGTGCTGTCATCTAGCTGGGATCAGCGGCTCTAGCGTGGCAGCATGCACTGGCGAAGTGCCCCGGGAAGTCAGGGAGGCGTTTGCACGCCATCATGCGGAGCGTAAGAAAAAACACGAAGGCAGGAAGCACGCCAAGACCGGAAGTCTGTTCACCACAAAGGTGAACACATTGTGTACACAGAGCTAGCCATGGATGGCAGCTGTTCGGTGCGAGCCGCCAGACCCCACCAAGCCGTCGACCTGGTGCCGGGCACTCCGTCAGGCCCAATTGTGGTTGCAATGAAAGTCGCGGGTAAGAAGGGTATTGACTAGGCTTGGGCCATGGCGTTCTATGGCTGCAACATATATGTTACATGGTATATACCTTGGAGCGCTGTTGCAAGTCATCCGTTCAGGCATGCTGTGGATTTGGCGGCGAGGCCCGCGTGCCAATATTTCCTGCCAACGCGCCAACGCTTCGGCGACTGGCTCCTGGAACGCACCTACAAGTCGGTGGTGGTAGAGCGTGAGAATGCGTTTGTGATGGACGCCGCGCGCATCCATGGCTGCACGTTCACGAGCGACGGGTGGACGGGAAGGGATGGAGTGCCCGTCTTGAACTATTGTGTGTACACCAACCAGTTGAACGCGCTGGTTGACCTGCAGCTGTGTGATGTCCCCGAGACAAAGGGGGCAGTTTCGTCAAGGAGGGACTCGAGAAGGGTCTAGAGAAATTCGTGCGGAAATGATGGCGCGTGGTTTCGAGAAGGAGGAGGCGGAGCGCGCCACAATTCAAGTGCTCATTGACGGCGCCAGGCATGGGAAACCGCATGGAAGGAATTTGCTGCTTTGCTTCCTTGGATGTTGGAGAGCTGGTGCACACTCCATGCTATTGGTTTGTTCTTTGGTGACGTATTCCAAGAGGTGGCGTCTTTATGGACACTGCAGACAAAGTCGGCACCCTGGTGAAATAACCCATTAGGTATTGATCCAGATCTTGACCAAGAAAGCCATGAGAAGACCTTGCTCGCATACAACAAGCTGCCGGAGGACAAGTCATGAGTGCGCGCACTGGGACTGCCCGGCCTGACGAGGATAGCAGGCAAATACAGCATGGTGGCTGACGCCTATGCTGCCAGAGAAGTTCTTGAAGCCGTGTTCACCCACCCTGCCGTAGTGCAATGGGCATCTCGCTTGTCCAAGGCTGAGGATAAGGCCAAGCACGCGGAGATGAAGGCATTAGCCTTCAATGCCGATATCTGTATAGACCCCCAGGTGGTGTGCGACATCCTTGCAACCGCGTTCTCCTGCTCAAGTTGGCAAATGGTAGTACGCCTGCTATGGGGAAGATGTGCGCACGCTGTTTGGAGTTGGACATAGAGCTGCTGAATGCCGTGAAGGGCTGCAGGGCCCCAGAGCGTGAGTGGCGTTTCAAGGTGTCCCAGCTCTGGGCCCCAAGTTGGGACCAATTGCACAATTCATCGCAGAGCGCAGGGTCTTGCCTAGACTTGGAGCACGGGGCGGCCGGGCAGCGCACCCAGACGACTCTTATGGCTGACTTCAAAACTGTGTTGGAAGTGTGGATGTCACCAGAGGACACTGCCAAGGCACTGAAAGAATGGCTCACTATCTACAAGAAGCAAGGCTTGTTTGCACAAGAGTGAACAATACTGCTTGCCAAAGGGCTGAGTGGAGCCGACTTCTACATGCCCCACGCAGCAGACCTGCCCTAGCTAGCGCCTGTTGCTGTGAAGATCTTGTCGCAGCCCCTCGCGATTGGCATCTGCCAGCGAGTGTGGAGTAGCTACAGGTGGATCCAAACCAAGCTGCTCAGAAAGCTGCATCCCAAGAAGGGAAGAACATGATGATCTACCTAGTGACACTGGGCTAGTGGCAAAGCTCAAGCGTAGTAGGCAGTATGGGATGTGGCAACCAGATGCGTTGGAGTGGGTAGAGAATGACGTTTTGTTAGACGATATGGTTGCCCTTGCTGAGGGCGCTGTGGACACGGGTTTGCGGGTGCTGGAGATGGCGAAGGACTCATCATTGTATTGTTCTTTCATCGTGTAATCTGGTGTCCTAAAGAGCCGTAAAACAATAAGAATAGCCGCAAACATAGCCCCATTTGCAAATTTATGTTTTTGCACATAAAAACATTAACGTAGAAACGTAATCGTAAATAACAAGCCTACTGACCCACAGGCATGATTGTGACCATTCAGGAGATCACCCGTGCATACCAGTTGCTGCCGCTCCCTTTGACCCCGTGAGACACGTGGCGAGATGCCTGAGCTGGATGCCCTATAATACGCCGTTACTAAGGACTGCCTGCAGCGCATGATCGCTGGAGGGTACTGCTGGGAGCGTGACATGAGCCTGAGGACTATGCAAACCGAGATAAGCGTCTGTTTGTGGGAGCCTTAAGGCTGGGGATTGCTGCATTAAATCAAAGAACTGGCCACGTGGGAGCTTGAACGGCACAGGCACGTGACTGATGGGCATACCATAGAGATTTGGGGAATCTGGGAATTTGAGGGGCACGTGTGGTACTGGTACAGCCGGATGGAACTCTCTGGTAGCTTGCGGGGTATTTAAGCTAGGAACTTGCACACTTTTGTAACCATGGGCCAACCATTCTTTTCTGTTGCGCAGACTATGTGTGTCTCTGTTCCCCTATACGCGCTCCGATCATCTGTGGTAGTCTAGGACGCTGCCTATCACGGCTGGTTTTGGCGTGCGACCCGCTGCTTAAATTGTCCGTGAGGCGATCAGTTGAGCGAAGTCGTGAGCCGAAGGTCGGGAAGATTCGGCCACCTTCGATCCGACGCACCGCTAGGACGGGGGAGCATGCCACATATGCTTCACGTCCGGTGCGGGCTCCCACTCCAATCCCGCGGTTCCCCGCGACCTGCGTGCCCAACACCGCCCCCCCCCCCTCTTGCGCCCACCCTCGCTGCCCACCCACCAAGAATCATCGACAGCATGCCGCCGCCAGCGTCAACGCGCCGCCGCGCCGCCGCCCTCCTGGCGGCCCTCCTGCTGGCCACACTCGAGGCCGCGCACTCCAAAGGTGCATTCCCATCCGACAGGGGCGGTGGGTGGGGTAAGATTTTTACAAAGAGAAACAGAAAAGAAACAGGTCACACACAGGGCACCACCTCCTGAGCATGTGCATATGAGACTCTCTGCCTTGCTGTGAGAGGACGATGTAGAGTTCCCTGGGGGAAGGGGGGGAGGGATTAGGATTTGTTACAAAGACAAAGAGAAACAGGTTATGCGTAGGGCCACCCCTTGCTAAGCAAGTGCATGGGAGGCTCTGGGCCGATTGTGTTGACGGTAATTGTCAAGATGAGGGACTGCAAGCCCGGCCCAAGACCTTGGCCAATGGAGGGGTGCCTGGCCGCGCCGGATGGCCCTCCCAAGCGGCACTATTCACGTTTCACTGCTGGCACGACCTTCCAGCGCTGGCTGCGTGCATCGCTGCGAGGCCCAGGCATCGCCGTGCCCTCGCGATGAGGGCGGGGGGGGGGGGAACAAAGGCTGAGGCTGTGCGCGCCTGGCGCGCATGCTGATCATTTAACGTTTGGCCCGTTGGCGTGCTGGCTCGTTGACACGCCAATTGACTTGCATTCGCCGCGGCGGCATTCCAGCGGACGTGTGTGTCGGAGGGCCTCCTGCCGCTGGCCCAGCCGGCGCCGAACCGTTGCGTTGTGTCCCTGTGCGCCGATTCAAGGGACCCTGGGGCACCCTGGCGGCTGGCCAAGGGCGGGTTGTTGCGGAATTGATGGAATGTAATGGAGTGAATGTGTTTATATCGGGATTAGGGCCGTTGGGAGGGAACTTTGGACGGCCAACGGGAGTGTCCGTTGTGGGCACACTTGGGTTCGGTGTGAATGGCGCTGCCGCTACGCAAACTGGGTATGACTGGCTCAATGAGAAAGTGTTTGGCACAACTCTTAAAGTTGTGGCTAGCTTATGGGCAGCGACCCTTGTTTCAGGGCGCGGTTGGTGATAAAGTCCAGGAAACCGAACTGAGCACAGTTTTGCACGGCTGGGAACGCAGTTTCGAGACGATCTGTGCAAACGGGGAACTTGGGACTAAAGGTTGGCGAAACTAGTGTGTGGCTATCTCGTTTTTCGCTCCCGCCCACCTCATCCCAGGTTATTGGCTTGAATTTTAATGTAAGGAGAGACAATTGGCAAACTGGTGTGACGGCACTCGATGGTGTTAAAAGTGCAGAGATTCTGCGTATGTGTTCTGCAGTTTTAGAGTAGATGGTCAGGCGCCCCGAGTGTGCCCTCCTTACCCGAGTTAACACAAAGAAGGAAATCTATAAACGGGTGGGCAAGGCCCCCCGAGATTTAAGGGCAGAATATATCGAATCGTGAATTGCGTGACTCACATTCTTTGGGGGCCGCAGACGCGTTGGGTTATGCGGCGTTACGCGGAGACTACAGGGGGAGGCGCCTGCATCAGGAGGGGGACATGGATGGCGCCCCGGCACCTTCAGAGAGGCCCACGGCAGTTGCCACCATGGCGGTAGGAGAAACGTACTTGGCCATTTTTTATTTGAATGTTTGCTGCTTGGCAAATAGAAAAATATGTTTGCTGTTTAAAAATCTATTCGAAATAGATTTTTAAAATGTTTTCTTTCCATGGTAACTCAAAGAAAGAGAAAACAAGGTACCGGGCCTACAGTAGTTGAGTACCTCAAGAACAGCGATGATGAAATGTTCAACCTGCTTAACCACGGCTGACAGCCAACCATATTTTAATATTCTAGAACAATGTATCTGTTACAAACTTTCACCATGAGACACCCTTTCAGGATAATGGTACAATCATGTGCTGTAAATTACTGAACCATGCACTGCTTTTCCCGAATCAGGGTTCTAACCTTTGAACATACTTTAAAGCTACTTTAAAACTAGTACCACTGGTGCTACTAGTAGTTTACAGCTTTTATGTTTTCTACTGCTAGTGCTACTTTCTTTCTACTTCAATACTAGTCAAATTTACGAGTTGCATTTGCTCCATCCAAACATAGATTGCTGTGCTGTGAAATGGAAAATGTTGTTTCACCAAAGTGTGTGCGTTCCGGTTTTGCAGGGCGGGAAAAGAGCAATCTGTGGCAGATTTCCGTACGTGGTGTCCCTGCGCGATAGGACGGATGTGCACCTCTGCGAAGGCATCCTGGTGGACGAGAAATTTGTGTTGACCGCTGCGCACTGTGTGGACCCCAATGACCCCATGTCGCTGGGCCCCACGCCCATCATAGTCATCGGGGCGTGTGAACTGAGGGACAAGAACAACGAAAATGGGAAAGTGGAGGTAGTTAACATAGGACATATGAGTTTCTTTGGTCTTTTGCAGAAACATACAGTATATTTTTGTATCTAATGATATTTAATATATTTATGTGTGTTTAAATCAACGGAAGCGGCCAAGTGATGCTGATTCGCATGGCAGATGCGAATATGTCGCTTTTGTGAAGATGTTTACTTGAAGCATTGGATATGAGGTTCGATCCAAAAACGGGGAAATGTGGGTAATACACACACCTCCGAAATTTGGTAGGAGTTGATGCAGTGTTGATGGGTGGTGATGCAGGGGGTTAATTGAAACAATGTCCATCAGCATTTTGTGAAGTGCACTTGAAACTATGGCTCTGTGGCGTCGGTGTTTATCAACCTAACAACAAGGCATCTTGATGCAACATTCCCCAGCAAGCTGTCTTGCGGCAATGCTGCATAAGCAATCCCGTTTGTCAACCCTGAGATACATTCGGAGGCTTTGTGCAACACTGATGGGCACTTGAATGAATGGCAACTTCAGAGCCCATGTTTGCAGAGCTGCGTTGATGCAAGGGCCTATCAATGTTGCATCAATGCCTACTAAATCCCAGATGCGCATCTGGGAAACGGAAAAAGTCGCATTACCTGCATGCAAGTAATGTGGCTCTTTTCCGTTTGTGTGAAGATGGTAGATATGAGTCGTCTAAGCGCTGAGAACGGGGAAGTGGTGGTAATTCACAGAAGTAACATATTTCACTATTTATTGTATGTTACTTACTTTTTTATATTTTTGGTTTCCATGAAGATATATTAGCGATCTGATGATCATGCAGGTCAGACTTGGTTTTTCCGTTAACGTTTATGTTTTTGCGTGTAAAAACGTAAATTTGCAAAAGGGGCTACTTTCATGGATGTATTTAAGTTTTTACCGCCTGTTGTGGCACCCATATTGGACGATGAGAATCAGGTGCAATGATCAGTCATCCCAAACATCCTCAAGCACCCACGACATAGCGTCAAAATCACCCTTAGCAAGGATGACGGTGGCGTGGCACAAGTTCGCTTTCTGTCCATTCCAAGGCAGCTGGGTGCCACTTCTCGGACCCCTAAGTCTGTATGTACTGTCCTTATGTACGCGAGACTGTACTTACGTTGTGTGTTTACGTATTTTTATTCATTTTAATGCGTGAAAACGTAAAAACTGATTTTACACGTAAAAACTATTTTACACGTAAAAAGTAAATACGATCAGGTTTTGCGGCGTAAAAACCAAGGATGACACAGGGCCACTGTAGGGCCTCAAGTGGTACTTGAACCAATGGGAACTAACTTTTGATTGCTTGGCTCAAAAAGGAAGCAAAATAAACGCCATGCTCAATGAATGGGTAATGCATCGCCACATGTAGGAGCATCTGATCTGTCACACACCTCTTAATATGGCAACAGCTCATCTGGTTTTACTATGAACAAATTGGCACTTCCGAAGTTGACAAAAGCTGCAATAATAACGGTACAATGAGTGGAAAAGCTTAAAGTTTTGTTTTTAAGAAGTGCTGCAGCACAATCTTTGCAGATTTTCATTGCAAAAAAGACGTTCATCCACGAAGGTTGGACAGGCAAGGTTGAAGATGGCAATGATGTTGCGCTACTGGAGCTGAATAAGAAGTCCAAGCATGCACCCGTCCAACTCCCCACCAGCAATGACGCTCTCCAGGTGGGACAAGTGGGTTGCATCTAGCCCTATTGTACTAGCCTACTCTTTGTTTGGTTAACCTAAAGAGCCCATGCGTTACCAAGCCCTACCTGGCCCTACCAGCCTCACAACCTTTATGCTGAAATCGCAATCTCCAGTACCTATTGCATCCTGGGCCCCGCCATATAATGGAGCAAACACTTGCAGCCGAAAGTGAAAGAAGACTGACAGTTGATAGAGTACGCTTAGACTATAGTGAAAGGGAATGAAGCAAGTTCACCGGAGATCGATGCTGAATTATCACATTGTATTACTGAGAGAAGTGTGGGACTACGCTTTCGAACACAGTGGGAGCACCAGAAGCTACATGTGGATATGAAAACTGCTGCGCTCCTCAAAGCAGCAGGCCTCTTGTCGCCTCATAATGGGAGCGTATCGTAATGGCAATAAAATGGCAAGTCAGTCATTCACTGTACAATTCGTAACACATAGTGGTAACTTCATGGCTGAAAAGAGTGTCACGTTGTGCACATTGCAGATGCTCATATTCATGACATCATATGATTATGTCCAAGGTCGGTTCGTGGTGATAGTTTTAATTTTGCGTTGCCCATTCCTTCTACTTTATAACAATTCTGCCCAGAAGGTCCTTTATGATCAATTTTCACACTCCAGTGCTTCAGGGATGGGATATGGGATGTACATCTCCAAGAAAAATACATCTTTTAGTTCTTGTATGCCTGTCTTTTATTATCTTGCCACAAATCGCCAGATGACACAACCTGCTCCAAATCTGACCATGTCATATGGTCAGATGTGGTACCGCATTCACACGGTTAATACACACATTACTGTGTATGGGACACAGTTTCAACTATGCTTGGTTTTACGTTGACGTTCTTACGTGTAATAGTGTAATTTGTGAAGAGGGCGATTTTGTGGCTGTTTTTTACGTTTTTGCGGCTCGTTGGGACACCCAGGTTACACGATGGAAGCCGTGTACAATGGTCAACCGTCCGCCATCTCTAGCACCCACAACATAGTGTCAACCTTGGCAGGGGCAACGATGGCATGGAACAAAAATCTGTTTTCTACAAATTCTAGCACATATGACTGCCGCTCACCGGATTCCCAAGTCTGAATTTACTGTCCTAATGTACACAGACTGTAACTTATTTTGTTCTTTATGGAGCATTTACGCATTTTTATGCATTTCATGGGTGCCACCTAAAAGAATATTTATGCATGGAAACGCAAACACGATTTGTGCTTATGGCGTAGTACCAAGCCTGGTTGCAACTGTGTGCCCTTGGGAACCGTGTTGTACACGTTCAGTACACGACAATGTGTGTATTATGTGGGAATGCGGGACCACATTTCACCATATGATACAGTCAATCTTGAGCAGACCCTGTCATTTGACCTGTTTCTTACTACTGTATTGTGGTGCCATTCTTCTGGTAGATGCACTAAAGCAAAGTCGTTGCAGGTAGGGCAGACTTTGCTGGCTTTGGGCTGGGGGCTCCAAGAGGACGGGACCAGCAGCGGTGATTTGCGGCAGACAATGGACATCACCATCATTGGGAACAACATTTGTGGTGGGAAGGACATTTGGGGAGACTTGATTCAGGACTCGATGATTTGTGCGGCTGGAGAGTTTAGAGGGGGAGTTTGTGGAGGTAAGATATTCTTTGGAGGAGTCAGTAGCGCAAGCGGCAGTGTGACGCTCTCCCTCACACAATGTTCAGGATATGGGTGCTCATGAATTGTCAGTTCCTGATTCTCTTCCAAAATGGACGAACTATGCTTTCTCCATCCCATATTGAAAGTCCTATATTTGGAAGACAAAATTCGTTACAGGGACGCCTCAAAAGTGCGAAGCAAGGTCAGATCAAAATGATTGGGTTCCAAAACGCTTAACTACCAATTTTGGAGACAAAATGTCAATCCCACCCGTTGAAGGGCACCCTCAAAATTGGGATTCGCAAAAATTGTGAGCTGATTCCATTTCCGCTGGAGATTCGCACAGTTCTGGGTCGCTCACGTCCCGAGCAACCAAGAGAATGGCTTGACCATTGCTGTGGTGAAGGGCGACGCCCCTCACATGGAATAGCACTGGTCAACCACGCTCAATGGTGTCTGGATCGTCATGGCAGAAGGCCATCGTTGCATTGTCAAACATTCCAGAAATCGCTGCGATCTTGGATCCAAGACGCAATGGTCTGCCATATGCGGAATGGCCAAGATTCAGGACGTTTGCTCTGAGTATTGTACCACTCCAAGGTATTTTGGCGGCTTTGCAGGGACATCTTGGTTCGATTGATCCTTGACTCAAGGCCTTTTATTGCAACTTCGACCGCGATCGATCGTGGTCCAAGTTGCAATAGAAGGCCTTGAGTCAAGGATCAGGCCTTGATTCATGGATATAATGAATTGACACTAGTAGCCACCTCTTTTGTGCGGTCCACAATCCATCACCATCTAGCTAGACTGCGCTCATGAAAGAGATATGGCATTAGACATCTAACCAATCTGTTTGGGTCCAGCCATTTGAAATTCCACAGCAAAGCCCATTTCGCCAATCTCGTTTTGACAACAATTCCCACAATCATGCTATGCTGAATGCAGTGATGGGCTTCACCTTCTCTGCCGCCTTGTCAAGGGGATTCGGAGCCACCCTCTGTGGTCTTGATGGCACCAACAGAGGACGAAAAGTCTTGGCCCCGATTTTCTATCTGAACGACATGGATAGTTTTGTATGGGCTGCTCCGTTTGGTCGTCGCAAAAGCGTGCTTCTCACAACAACGAACACAATTGCTTTTGCATAATCGTTGAAGAACGGGTGGTTTTCTGGCCAGAGGCCTCTTACTATAAAGCACTGCCAAATCTTCAATACTTAACGTATTGACTTGAAATTTTGAAACTGCACTTCGAAACGTAGGCCCAGCTTCAGACAAAATTTCATTGAAAAAAGAAGATCTTTTTGGAGAAATGGTGCGCCAAAGTCATAAAGGACATTTTATATGGGAAGTATGGAGTAACAGTAATGTGGAATGACAAATAGGCAATTTGGCAATTTGCAAGGTCACAATGCTCAAAAGTGGAAATTGAACTATGTTGCAAATTGCCAAATTTTCTTTTCTCAGTTAGCATTACATGTCACGATCACTAAGTACAGTGACATCATTGACTGCTGCAGGCGACAATGGTGGACCTCTGCTACTCCCGTTTGCTCCCAATGGAAACACCAGTGCTGGAAATCCTGCCTTGGATGTTGTTGTGGGGATCACGTCGTTTGGAGACAATGAAAGTTGTGGCAATGCAACGCGGCCATCTATTTTCACGAGGGTCAGCAGCTACGTTGATTGGATACGCGAAAAGGTGAAGGTGAAAATTTTTCACATTCATTCCCTTAATTTCTATGCTTGCATGCATAACAGTGAATTTGCATTTAGTTGTATAATTTCACGGTCTGTACTTTTACTGGATGGTTCAGTTGCACATGAGCTGCTAGTAAAAGCCTGTCCCTGGTGCTGTTGATCTCGTCATCCTGTTTGCTAATTGTTAGTCACATTTGCAAATTAATGAATTGCTTACTTATTTTATTTAGAATGGTTCTCTACTTGGAAATTGTTTTCTTGGTGCCTCATTTGCTAGTGTACACTAGCAAACTGCAGTACATGTACTGCAATGCATTGTAGCTCAGCATTACACCGGCCCTGGACCAGACCAATATTGAATGGGAAGACCACACCTGCTCAGCTGCCAGTTTCTGTGTTCCTGTGGGACCGGAGCACAAAAGCCACAACTTCTAGCTTAAGTATCTTGAGCCCTATCTTTGGATGGTACCCAGAGATGCCGCTTGGCAATCAATATGCACATGGGTGCACAGTGGATCTGGGGTGTGTCAGGCGGGCTTGTTCCTTGGCTGGTTGGTGTGCATAATGGCACTACATGGTGTGGATGTGTAGTCACCAGATCAGTCAAGCATCCTATCTCTCACAGCTGCCAATTGCCATTCTCCCAGCTTGGGTTCAGAGCTGGCCAAGTTGACTAGTACAGGCACCCCAACCCATCTGAAGTCATCCAGGCAATGTTGCATCATCAAAGGACTATGGCTGGGTGAGGCCCGTGGCGACACCCACAAGTGATAATTGAAGCAGCCAAGTGGTCCCCGCAAAGCCCCAATCCCACCCAACAGGCCACACCATGCCCCACCCACTAACACACCGAGCCCTGTCCCCCTGCAGCCTCCTGAGAAAACCCCCCTTCCCCCTCTTTGCCCGAAGCACCCCACCGCCCATGGCTTCCCCAACCCCTCCTGTAGCAAACAGCTCGGCATTCGCCCTCATTGCCATCTCCCTCCTTGCCGCGGGGGCATCAACGGCAAGCAGCCAAGCGGCTGCGCCCGGTCCCAGCGGCCAGCCCGATCCATTGGAACTCGACACATCGGAAATCGAGCTGTTCGCCCCGTGCTTTGGCAGATGCGGCTTCAACTTGAACGGCAGCCTGCCCTAATACGACATCGCCAGCACCAGCGGCGCCCAGTGGTGCGTGGCCTGTACGGGGGACGCTCGCTCCAGCTCATGGGTGCTGGACGACCGTACGTTGCTGCGCTTTCTGAAAGAAGACTCCACTCTTGAGCTCATCCCAGATTCTGACTTCTTCTCTGGACGGCTGGCATCTTCCCGCCAGCCCTGTCCGGAGGGTGGCGCCTACTGCTTTAACACTGTTCAGTGTGCCGAGCAGGTACAACCGCGCCAACTTCCACCTCCGGAGATGGTTCCACCAGCACTGCCAGCTGCACCCGTCGATGAAGAAAAGGTGGTGGTGCGCCCATGCAACAGCAGCAGCGGCGTGGCCTTCCAAGGGCCCACCATAGGCGGTGGCGTGCGAAGCCAGAGCGAGGAGAGTGCTCAAGACTGCTGCGACGCGTGCCAGCGGCACGACGGAGGATGCTTCCTGTGGACATGGCGGGAGAGGGACGGGGCCTGCTTCTTGAGGAACATGTGGGGGGGCAGTGAGCAGCTGGAGGGGTTCGTGAGCGGGCAGTTGTTCTGAGGGCCCCAGCGGGTGGCTGTTCTGTGGGCTGCCGCCCGGCGCAACATGGCAAACGTGTGACGCGACTTAACGCTGCTGACGCAGTATCGTGCCGTGGGCCGCTGCCGGCTGCACGATGAGGTGTGGGTACCGGTGGTGCGACGTGGCGTCCACACAGGGGTGCACGTACCGCTAGGCGGTCACATGGGGGTGCGGAATCGATGTAACGACAACGGAATGACCTATGATGCTGGTCCTGGGTGCACGCGGCCACCCGCACTTGGGCGGAGAAAACCAAAGTTCCCGATGGGTGATATGGTTGCATGTGTGAGTTCCGTTGCTCACACTTGTCAACAGCCCATGACTATCCAGGGGCCTTGCATCTGGGGAAGCGGTGACGGGCAAGGAGTGATTGTGTCCTGTGACAGCATGGCCCCCGTTCGTGACGGATGATCATCCTTCACCTGTGCACTAGATGGCTTTGCCAGCTCGGTGATTGGGGCCGCGTGTACGCGCTCCGTACATCGCTCCCACCAACCACTACAACATTCCCCAACACTACTCCTTTCCAAACACTCCGCTGTGACCATGCATGTGTGGGGCGCACATGTACATGCACATCCGTTTGCATGTGTCCGTGTGCCGCACACAGCAGCAAATGTGCGCCACCAACGCTGACATCAGCCTGCCGCGCACGCAAATGGTGCGCCGCTGACCACCTGACGGTGTAACTTCAGACATCCCTGTGACCTCCACCCTGTTTGGGACAGGGACGAAGCCGCAAAGGCCTCCACAACCCAAAACCCGCCCAACAGGCCACACCATCCCCCCTCCCACCCACACACTGAGCGCCCTCGCCGCGCGGCCTCCCGAGGTCCCCCGCCGCCCTCTCAGCACGAAGGCACCCCACCGCCCATGGCTCCCCCCACCGTCGCGATCAGCACGGCATTCGCCCTCATTGCCATATCCCTCCTTGCCACGACGGCATCAACGGCAAGCGGCCAGGCGGCCGCGCCCGGCCCCGGCGTCCAGCCCGATCCATCGAAACTCGAAGCACCGGAACTCGAGCCCCCGTTTGCCCCATGCATGGGCAGATGCGGCTTCAAGTACGACGGCGCCCCGCCCTACGATGCGATCGCCGACGCCGGCACCGGCCAGTGCTGCCTGGCCTGCACGGCGGACCCCCGCTGCGGCTCATGGGTGTGGGACGGCCGCACGTCGACGTGCTTCCTAAAAGAAGATGTCAACCCTGAGGCCTTCCCGGTTCCTGACTCAAACTTCTTCTCCGGAGGCCCGGGATTGCGTGACCGCGACTGTCCGGAGGGGGATGTCCCGTGCTTCTTCCTGGATTGCTCCAAGGCGCCGGTCAGGGCTCGGGAGGGCTCAGCTGCGACGGCTGAGCAACTCCGCGCTGCTCTGAGGACGCCCTGCGGTGGTCGCCCTGCGGGCGTTACAAACGTGTGACGCAGTGCAGTGTGACGCCATGTGAGGCGTGTGGCGGGGCGTTTCGTTGTTGCCAAGGTGTTGCCGTACTAAATCGTATAATAAATAGTGCAACCAAGGCCCGGGAGTCTCGAAGGCGAAATCAAGCTGCGCAGTGTGGCGTCGGTGCCAGATGGGGTCCCTCGGAGGCAAGCGGGCATATGAATGTGCTGTGGGACCCAGATGGCTGCTTTCCTTCTGTTTGCCTTTGACAAGACCAGACGGTGCCGCTGTGCTTTGTGGGGGTCGGCAGTCATGTATGCATCCAAGAACAAGACATAGAAATGATTTTGGGATCTGGGGAGCTGTGACGCGATGTCTGTGCGTCAGCTCCCGTCCTTTGTTTGATTGCCAAGGTGGCGCATCACAGGTCTTGTTTGGGGGTGATTCTTGTCCCAACAGAGTGTAACATTGGTTGCCGGTTGTCGTGCGTCCTGGACAGTCCCCCCACCAGCTGGGAAGTGACGCCCCGACTTCGTTCATGCTATAATGCTTTGTTGGCATTCACTTTGGAGACGCAGACGTTTGATTGGCGCCCACGTTCAGGTTTTCAGCTTTCAACAACAGGTTGCGGGTTACGTGGCCCCTACGTGCCATTTTGAAGCCCCATTAACCCAAGATTAGTTAAGTTGCCAAACGTTCAACAGATTTAACTTATCAATCAAGCATCAGCAAGAGGACAGAAACTCCTTGAAAATGGCAAGTATTAAGCCCGCTTCAGGCGTCCCGAAAATGGGCTCCTCAATGTGCTGCCAATGCTATTACTGTCGTCAAATTCAAGGCGACATTTTCTGTCCCGTGCATTGCTAAAATTGATTAATTCTCACAAGCATCCAATCAGGGCAGCCTTATCCAAGCAGTGGAGCTCTTGCCAGAAATGCGAAACTTCAAAAACGGCCGCTGAGACCCAACAAAGGGCAAAGAGCTCCATCAGAACCAAAGGCCACCCAAAGCCAAACAAGCAACAATACTTTACAGTACAGAAAAATGGCCTTTCTTCAACAAAACGTGCTCATACTGGACATGCACAGTACTACATACTTATGCAGGTACTGCAGCAACAGAACCAGTTGCTCAGGAGGCAGTGCTTCAGCAACATTAACACTGGCGCCCTTTCCACATGTTTTCTCGTCTCTCTTCCCCATCCTCAAAAAAATAGTATCTTGGAATTTCCCAGTGCTTCAGCTGCCTGAACAGCTGCCCAGATGCCCAGTATTTAAATGGTGCGTCCTTCCAGCCTCCTGCTAGCTAGCACTCTGGCCCACCGGCTGGCGGCTATAGTTCTTGAACAGATAATCCACTATCTGGTCTGACTCCGCCATCTTGACGCCTTTGTTGGGATCCACCAGGTAGGGCACGGTCGTCTTTCCCGACTCCTCCTCCAGCTTGTTCCTGTTCTTGCTGCCCTTGCCAGCGCTGATCAGCCGATAAGGCAGCTCCAACTCGCACAGGGCCTCTCTCACCTGTACATGGACAACGGTTAGCATGCTTTGCGCATGTTGCCAATATCACATTGCAATTGGAGAGCATTGGAGAGCAATTTCTGTTCTAGGGCCTCCCTCACCTGTACATGGACAATGGTTAGCATGCTTTGCGCATGTTGCCAACATCACACTGCAATTGGAGAGCATTGGAGAGCAATTTCTGTTCTAGGGCCTCCCTCACCTGTACATGGACAATGGTTAGCATGCTTTGCGCATGTTGCCAACATCACACTGTAATTGGAGAGCATTGAAGAGCAATTTCTGTTCTAGGGCCTCCCTCACCTGTACATGGACAACGGTTAGCATGCTTTGCGCATGGTGCCAATATCACACTGTAATTGGAGAGCATTGAAGAGCAATTCCTGTTCTAGGGCCTCCCTCACTGGAATGCAATGGACTGCATTCAGCAATGCTTGGAATGGTCGCCACCATCCACTGACGCAAGCGACTAAGCGACTAAGCAACGAAGCTATGGCTCAGTAGTTTAGTAGTTAACTAGTAGTTGTCCAGCAATAGATCAGTAGCCGCACAGCCTAGTAGCTCAGTAGTTTAGTTTCATTTGGTGTAGTACAGTTCAGTAGCGCAGTAGCACAATACTATGGTACAGCAAGTACTGTACTGAACCACTGCACAAGGCGCAACTCAAAAACATGAATCCAAACGGCGCCAAAATGCCAGAAACCCACCAGGCGGGCAAACTGGTTGTTCTCATAGTTGTACAGCTCCAGCAGCTTCTCAGGCGCTTCCCTCTCCGCGTTCTCATACCGCACCAACCCCCGGCCAATCCTGAGCAGCGTTGGCATCCATCCCGTCCTCAAAGTCGAATTGACCAGACCCTCAGGGACTTGAGCCCCTGCGCCATAGGTATCATACAAGTACTGCACGATCTCGGCGCTCTCGTACATTTCCTTGCCCGTGTTGGGGTCGATGAGGTAGGGGAACATGGACTTGCCACCCCTGCTGAGCACCTCGGCACGGTTGCGAATGGCATCCTAAGGGCAGGGCATGGGGCATGCTTCAGGGAAGGGCATGGATGGCAGTAGCCCTTCTAAATTGCCTTTGACAAGACAAGTGGCGCACGTTGTTGTCGGGGCCCTTGCACATTTGTTGTCTTTATGCCCCCCAACTGTTCTGGGTGAGGATGACAGTCCAATGGGGAGAAGTAGGTGGCTACATTTGGGATGGGCAGTTTGCAATTGCAGGCAGGCAAGCTTCATTCAGAAAATGAATGACACTGCCACTCTTGTTCATATCTGTACCCACGAGCACACATCCAACATGGCAGAATGTGTGTAGCTCATGCACCACCGAATGATCTGGTACAAACAATTTTAATGCGATACATCTTCAATTTAGGTCTGATTTCTCTTCTAAATTCATTTTAGTCTCATTGGCTACATACATGTAAATGACAAAGCACTGACCACCCCTTCCTTTAAATTGCAGCACAGAGACTGCGATCTCCAGGAACACAATCGGTGGCCCAACGACAATCCACCCATCTTTGGACACAGGTGCACATCAACTGTGAGGTCAAGGTCAGCCGCTTCCTTGACATTGCAGCATAGAGATTGCGATCTTTAGCAACACAATCGGTGGCCCAGCAACAATCCACGCACCTTGGGACAAGGATACACATCAACTGTGAGGTCAAGGTCCGTCACGGCCTCCCTCACCCTCCTGCAGAATGGGCACGCCTCGAATTCATACAGCTGCAGTGGCTGCGCTGGGTCAGATGCTCTGTTGCGGCTTGCATCCCCAGCGGACGTGCCATAGGGCATGCGGGTGATCGACGCTAGGCCAGATGTGGTCACCTATGCAGTTTCAAAACACGCTACTCACTCAAAACTACACACAAGACATCCTTTGCAACAAACCCACAAACCTTTAACACATGGGCTATAGGCTACTGATCCAAAACTTGAGGGCCTTGTTTAGGGACTGATCGCATTGCAACACTCTGTTGTAATGACCGAACGTGCGGCACACGCGCAGTGAACTCACTGGGAAGAATATCTGTAAGAAGACGATTGACTTTGAAGTTGGTTCCTTAATGGCATGTGTGTGCGATCAGTGCAACAGGGGGTAGAAGCACAGACTGAAGTTGATGGCATGGCCATGCTTTTGCAGCTCCCAGATGAATCCCCTCCCTGTCGATTCCTAGACCATTTTGAGAAATCTTGCCAAGCAAAAAATACATTAGACAGAAGAAATTGGGATGGAACACACCAACCCCACTGTCACATGGTAGTTCCAAGGGCTTTAGTTTGTCATTCTGCAGAACATGCCCATAAAGCAGAATTTCGAATGCCAAGCAGATTGTCTTGGGTCATGCGGCCCTTGGACTTGCCACCTCATGGAGCTCGATGCGAGTTGCCAAAAAGCAGGCCACTGCACAGCTTGTTACGTAAGCTGCTGGCAAAAGATGCAAATTTGAGCTCCATCACGTTGTTGCTTGCGGAATGTAAGGAACAATTCTGTTGAGAGCATGGACAGGAGTGCTCCAAACAGGAGCCCCAAGACTAACATGCAAATGAAGAATTTCTATGCTTGGATGCCTCGAGTGCTGGTGGAAAGTGCAATTTTCCTGGATAGACTGGGGGGAATGCCTGGATTTTAATGCCAAACAACTGTTCGAATTGGGAAAACCACTGTGCAAAGCGAATGAACAAAGCTACAAATAACTTTTCTGTGCGTATCTGTCTATATAATACATTGGCCTTTTTGACAAATGTGGCACCTGCTTCTCTTTCTGAAGCAGATTGGACAATAGCCCATGCTGCATGAAGAACGGGAGGACCAATCTCACTGACACAACATCATTTTTCTTCATGAGCTCTTTCCCTGCGTAGGGCATGTCTCTCTATGCTGTGACATGCCTTGCAGCCCAAGGCAGAGTTTTGTGGCGTTCTTCTCATTGTCCAGTGGCTCTGCAAACATCTGCTTCTGCACACCAGTGCAGGCTTTGCCCAAGGCATTGCTTGGATGCTGGGGATTCTGGCGCCAGCAAAGGGATTGGTGCTGCTTGCGGACAGGTTTGTTCTTGGATGGCTTCTTGCCAGTCATCGCCTACACGGCGCAAGGGCACCGCTTTGCCTCGTCAGAGGCAACCTTGAAGCATACCACCCCCCGAATGGGACCCCACCGAGATGGAGGGAGACAGATTTCGTCCGGCAGCAGAATTTGCGAATTATGGTGTGCGGCAAGTATGCACAGATGGGATTCGGAAGGCACCTGATTAAAGGCGGCGGCCACACTGGCACCACTGGAGTCCAATTCCATTCGGTTGGGGTGGCCCGACCCCGCGTCGCGTCCCCCACGCCGCTCCACCGATCTTTAACAATGGACACACCTCAACGAAACTGATTGTTCTCCCGTTCGTGACCACATTGTTTTGTCTCGGGGCTCCCGCTAAGTCTCCTCAAAGGTGGAGGAGAATTGGGATACTTTCTCGTCAAACCTGTCCTGTAACAACTTTTCCCACACCTCGCCACTCTGCGTCGCGGTCCCAATTCCCCCACGCCGTGCAACCTCCCCCCCCGCCACCCAACACATCGCATGCTCCCTTCCAGCGCAACAATATCGCCCCTTGAAAGCACGTGTCTTCCATTCCGCAGAAAGGAAGAAAAGCAGAAAACCAGAGTGACCAAGAGATCGCGACATTCGCCAGAATTGCGCGCCATTCACCTCGAGCCACCTGGGCCGCGCCTCCGCCGGGTCCCCACCCGAGAACATCTTCAAGAAGGGGCAGAGCACCTGCAGCCAGCTCTGGCCCCCTCCCCCCGAATTCGACTCAGCCGCCCGGACCACGTGACCGGACCGCCGCGCGGATCGCGCCGACTGTTGGCCGTGCAGATTTTTGCGGGATGGCGCCATGGCTCCGCAGGGTGGGGCCTGGCGGGAGGAGGGGATTCGTCGAGCGGCCGGGAGGCCAGACAACGCGCCCGGGGCGGCCGCCATCGGAGGGCCGCCGCTGAGAGTCAACACCGGCCAACGGTGTGGTCAAACTTCAGACCCGGGCGACGTGGGGGCTTTTATGCCGGGTGACCCACGAGGTTGGGCTGTTCCCCACAGGTGGCGATTTGCATATATATTTTTCCCTTTTAGGTTCCGTTTTCCGAAAATGTGGCGTTTAAAATGTGGCGTTTAAAATGTGGCGTTTGAAATATGGCGTTTCAAATGTGGCGTTTAAATTGTGGCGTTTAAAAAGCGGCGTTTAAAATATGCGTTTCGAATGTGGCGCTTGTATGTTTTGTGCTGCTGGGTGCAGGTTTTGGAAAATGAGCCGGACGGCCACAACATTGAATACTGCTTCAACTGCATACAGAACTACCCCAGCACTACAAGGCGGTGGCTTCCATTGGACTCCATCAAGATTTCTTCCCCTTGGACTTTGTCGTTCAATTCCGCGACCATCCTTTCTTGCCGAGCGCTTGGGGACCGCGAGACAGCTGCCTCGCTAATGCTATGTACCGACATTGCGCCTTCCCTAAGTGCCCAAAAAAGGGCAGCAGCTCTGTGCTTACCCCGCACTAGAGCGCACTACCTGTGGGCCAGACGCACCCTCCTTCCCCTCCACGCCCTGGGTCGCCCCAGCCCCGGCACCGCATCCCGGGGCTGGCCACTTGCTGCGAAATGGCCTCGCGCGAAAAGCGCACCGATCGAATCGCCTCTGCGTCGCCAGTGCCTCCCTCGCCCTCCTCAAAAGAAGCCCTCATAGAAGCCATGCCTCAGATGGAGTTCATGTCCGACGGCGCCATGAAGCGCCTGTTCCGCGTCGTATACTCCTCCGTGCTCATCGGCGCCGGCCTCCTCGCCGCCCTCGTCGCCATGAACCTGTCCGAGTCCTTCGATGTCGCCGATCGGACCCTGCCCGTCGCCATCCTGGGATCGGTCGTTGGGGCAATGGACACGGCGGTGCTGACGGTCTGCGTGGCCGCGTCCCTGGTCCGGCTGAGGGCGGTGGGCGCGGCGGGCCTGGTGTGGTCGCTCAGGCGCTGGCGCTGGATGTCGATCTTCTTGATGCAGCTGGGCTGCGTTTGGGTGGGCAGCGTGTTCTTTTTCGTGCCCAACCTGCGCGTGGCCACGCGCAGGTGTTGGTTTTTTGATCCCATGCTCAAGTACTCTTGGATGGTGCGGTGGACGGCGTGGAACACGTACTTGGCGCTGGCGCTTGTCCACGCCAGGTCGTTCACTTTCTCGGGGGCTGTGGCGGGGGTGCCCGCGGGCGGGCTGTGCAAGGATTGTGTGGTGGGGGTTCGCAGCTTCATGGCGACGCTTTGCGGAGCCTATGTGGCGGAATCCCCTTCTTTAAAATTGGCTTCGAAAGACATTGCGGGACCCTTGGACATTGCAGGCGATGGCGGGGGCTCTGTGGCCCGTTTGGCCGCATGTGCCATGGGAGGGTGCCCTGGACATGGAGGGGTGTGCAAAGATGAGATGTTGGCGGATGCTCCCTGGCGGGTGCACTGGATTGTGGGTGTGTACTGGTGCCTGTTTCAGGGCTGCGTGCTCCGCTTCGTGCCCTTTGTGGTGGAGAACGAAGCCCCATGCTCCAGGACCGTAACGGACTGCTCGCCCCCACCGCCCATCATGGTGGCCATATCCCTGATGGTGACGTTCGAGTGTGGCTACCTGTTCCTGTTCCTGTACTTCATGAGAAGGGCGTTCGTGCAGCTGGCGGCACGGAGCTACGTTCAGCACCGATGGACAAACATATCCTTGAGGTTCACGTTCCGGACTGTGGGGATAGTGCTTCTCTTAGGAGTGCTGTCGATCTCCTTGCTTGGGTTCGCTCGCAGAGGGTCGTGCATGAGTTACCTTATGGCCGTTGCGGGTTATGTACCCATGCATCCAGCACTTGCACTGTTGATGGCCGTGAACACAGCCATGGCGCTGCCCATCGGACCAGAGTGCGAGAGGCCCACACAGGCACCCCCCAGCGGGCCTGTCTGGTTAGAAAGACACGTAAAGGAACAAAGACAGGGCAGGAATGTCAACGAGGCTGTAGATTGGGATCAGTCTTTTTGTTTTGAGAGGGCTGTCAAACTTATCTATTGGTGTGAGTTTGTTTATGAGTACGACCCCAAGACTGGGCAGCAGGCCAGCAGTCCCTTTGATATTGAGACAGGCATGGCTCTGTTTGGCCTCAATCATTGCGAACATGTGCAGGCCAGTGGGATGGATGCGAATGCGATTGTTGCATGGAGCGAATCTGGGACCATATTGTTGTGCTTCCGTGGGACGTACAGTGCAACCAATGTTGTGGCAGATCTCAAGGTTTGGAGAGCCAGACATCCACCCATGCGTGGCCACCTATGGCTGGGCACATGCCCACTGGTTCACAAGGGCTTCCTGCAGTCTTGGGCAGGTGAAGGCTTTGGCAATAGGGTGCTCTCTCGGGTGAGGGCGATATTGAGGAACCCAGACTTTGATGCGTGGAACCTCAATGTGTTGGTCACTGGGCACTCTCTGGGTGGAGCAATGGCAGTCTTGGCTGCTAACGACATTGCCAGATATTGCAACGTGGCCCAAGGGCAATTGTCATGCTACACATTTGGCTGCCCCCGGGTTGGCAACAGGGCCTTTGCAGCGGAACATGATGCAAGAGTCCCAGACACATGGCACATTGTGAACGACCTCGATCCCGTCCCCAGGATGGCGAAGTTCTGGACACTGTACAAAAGAACGGGCAATCGGGTGGTAGTGAATGATCGGGGTGACATAATTGTGTCGCCGTCATTTTTGGAGTTCAAGTTGACATCAGCATTCATGGGCAAGAGGAGAATCGTGCATCATAAATTGTCCAGCTACCGCAAATCTCTTTCAAGTGTGGTCGGTGCACAACTGCAAGTGCACAAGGTGCTGGCCAAGGGGAATGATCCCTTAAGTGCATGGTGGAACGATGGCGGAGACATTGCGAAAGTACTGTTGTCAGGCAGAGGGTCAGATCACAGCCAATAACATGTTGCTGATGTTGTTTTGCATTTTTAATTGCGGGTTTTCATGCAGGACTCTCACGATGTCAATCAACAGACCTTGTGCTGTGAGACTCTAAATTGTGCAGTGCATGCAGATGCTGTGCGAAATGAGCATTGTTGCCATTGCAGGGTTTGGATGAATGCAGCAATTATGAAAGAAACACAGCACATCACAAAGTATAAGAAGTGAGGGTATATAAACAGTTGTGGATGGGTTAGTACACGAGTGGCAAAATGCTGCAGAGCAATGCTACAAATGGACTGTCTCCAATAAGATTAGTGGTGAATGGAGTTGTGCATTGGGCGGACCGACATCAGATATCGAAAATATCGATGTGCGGGGCGCACCCCACGTTTTTTGCGCATGTCAACAGGTGAGATGTATGTTTGCCCTCCACCAGCAACTGTTGGGATAGGAAATGTAGTAGGCAAGGTATGCTGGCAATCGAGATTGTGAATCCGTTCCTGGCGCACTAGCGATATATGCCACAAGTCGCACAAAATTAGGGTACACAAATTTAGCGGTGAGATGCTGAATCTAGGTAACTCATCTAGCTGCTGTGGTTTGCACCACACACTCAAGACATGTAGCGTTGCGGGCAAAAACTGTGCAAAGCACCACGAGTTTAAGAAACACAGCACAAACAATAGCAAAGACAACAAGGCAAGCAACTAAGTTGCAGTGTGGCTGTTGTGCTCACTGGAATGTTCCACCAAATCTCCATGCATGAAAACCACAATCTATCCCAAAGATGCTGCAATCGCAAACTGCATGTGTGCCAAACACATGTTTGTCAACCTAAAAAAGACGCTTTTGCCATGCATCCGGCTCACAACTTCGTCCTATTTGGCCTTAGTTGCTATCACTGCAAGTAGGTCACAAACATGATATACATACAAGAAACGACTTTAGCGACTTCATAAAAACTGGCCACAACAGCCGCCAACCGCAGTGTTGTATCTATCACCTTCATGAGCGTGTTCATGGCAACCCTAAACCTCCCATGCTTCCATTGTTCCACCAACCTTGCAAGTGGCCTGGCATCTTCTGATGACAGAGGTCTGGGCCTGGGCTACGGTACGTGCCACCCACAACTGGACGTGAGGGTGTCCAATGCTCTCTCCCGACTTGCACAGGTCGTGTTGTGACTTGTCTCTGGTACTGTGCTTGGGACGTCATGACATGTGGTAGCACCCTGGGAAGGATGAATACAAGAGGATTATTGTAACAATCCCCTTGTACCTATTTAGTTAACTTTATCAGCCATATTCGGTATTTAATTAAATGTGGATCATCAGGTGTTGACTAACATTTTGTTGCGTCCAATCAAACTCTTTGTGCATGGTGGTCCACGGTCCATTATGATGTAATCCAATTTGTGTGCCACCACCTCTTGCCTTTCAGGGGCATCTTGGAGCCCCGCCAATAGTTGGCACAACTCCCCCCTACAAGGCATGGCACTAAGTAAAGTATAGAATCTATCACATTACATAAATGTGGCTGGTCAGCGACATTAGATACGTCCTCTGGTCTTCTACACCTCATGCATGACTGCCACATTTGGAAGCGGAGTGTTGTGATGACACAGCTCATTGGCCTGGCACCATGACGCCAAATTGAATGCTATGCTTTTCTTGCAGCCAGCCTCCTCCAGCATCCTTTCTTTTTTGGCGTTGTCCTCTTCGCGGTCTACAACCTTTGGTTTAGTAAGCACTATAAAGTACATCCTCAGGCCATGAATGTTCCTTTTAAGGACATGTAACAATTGGACACCATAAAGTACAGCCGCACGGCATTTTCCACGGACGCTTTGCCGATCTGTGGACGCCAGGCATTGTCTTCTCCGCCCCGCGCTGGGCTGCCCCAGCACCCGGCACCGCAGCCCGGGCTGGCCGCCCCCAACGCTATCCCCTGTTGCGAAATGGTCACGCTCGCAGAGCGCCCCGATCCCGGCGCATCTCCTCCGCCAGGCCAATCCC